GGAACATATCCAGGAGGGTGCTATGGCCTATGGGAAGTGTGTGTGGGAAGTTAATATCAAAGATATCAAAGAATATTGCCTGAAAGATTTTAAAGGAACCCAGGTGACTTTTCAGTTCACTACACTGCCAGGAATATTTGGCATAGGTAGCAATGAGTGTTGCTTGGATGCTCTTCTACTCTCTGAAATCTGTGCAAGTGCTCTGGATACCTTGTGAAAATGAGGTAATATGAGACTCCTGGTCTGTTACAGTCTGAACGGGAAACGTTGTTGCAGTGTTTTGGCTTCATTCATTGTGTCCAGATGACAGAAGAATTTGTAAAAATGAAAAATGGTGGAGCAGAGGTGAGGATAAACATGTTAATCCATGACAGTATTTTGTACCTTAGAAGGTTTTTGTATCTTAAAATGAGCCTTTGCTCAGGTTCAGATGAATGAACATGAAGAAAATATCCTGAATTGTTCCTAAATTGTTGGCTTGTGTTCAGGTGTCCCTGCCAGGCTGAAGCTGTGAGCAAAAGTCTCTGAGAAGAGAGACCCCTTTAAAAATGGGAAAGGCCTCTGAAAACAGACAAATAGGCCAAAGAAGGAGACATGCTGCAAAACAAGCCAAGAGAATTTATTGTGGTCAGCCTGAACTATCTTGCAACATAAATTCCTCATTGCAAACTTCATCAGTTTGACCAAATAAGCTTTCAAAAGCAGTAAAACTTGTTATTTAAGGTAGCAAACTGTGCCTTTGCAGCATGGAAAAATATGAGAACACTGGGGGAATAAGCTTTCTCTTCCCTCTTGGACCTCTATGCAAAAATTTCAAGCTTAAGGTAATCTTCCCAACATCAGTCACTGGGAATTAGTATGTCCTCCCCAGCTGTTGCTTCTAGATGCTGGGCCAGACTGTAAAAACTAAATAGACTTCAGTGGAATGCCTAAAATTCATTTTCTCACTCAAATGCTTTCATCTTGCTCATTTCATTGTGTTTACAGGCTGGCAGGTTTCCTGAGGGCAGCCATGATTTAGATTTACAGTCCCCTGGCCAGTCTGTTTCTGAAGAAAAGTTATAACACCTGTAACATAATACCGTTTTTGAAAAGAGTGAAAAATGTCATGGTCTGAAAAGGAAGCCTCTAAACTCCAGTAATCACAGTATATCACATATCTCTGCACCCCACGGTGGCACCTGAGGTTGTTATTACTTCAAAACACTTTCAATTCCCTTTCCCCTGTCTCCACCCACTCATTTTAAAGAAACCAAACCTGTCTCATCATGTTGGAGAGTTAGCTTTAAAAATATCTCTGGGATTTCTCCTTTCTCTTATTCAGGTTAGGGTGGGGAAACTCTGGGGTCTTTGGGAGGGAAGGAAAACAACTGAGTGAAAGTGCAGTGTCTCTTTCTGACTGCTGTAAATGGCTGGACATCTTTGTGATGTCCTGCCAAGCACTGGACAGCCAGGATTTCACTCCTCAACATTTATGGGCTCCCACATATGGGCTGAAGGACATCAAAGTGTGGTATAAACTTCACTGAGAATAGTGCAGATTTAAACTTCAAGATGCAAAGAGCAAGTGGTTAGAAACAATACCAAAGGGTTGCTTTACAGATAACATTTAGAGGACAGGATAAGTGTTGGAGAAAGTGTGAGTCAGGAAGAAGCCAAACACTCCTGCTTTCCTCTGAGCACCCTGTTATTCTTAAAGTATCTTTTATTTTATCATCATATTTAGAAACTGTTCACTGATATAGAATCACGGAATTATAGAATTGTTTGCATTAGAAGAGACCTTAAAGGTCATCTAGTTCTAACACCCTGTGTTGGGCAGGGACACCTTCCGTTGGACCAGGTTGCTCAAAGCCCCATCCAACCTGGCCTTTAACACTTGATCTAAATCTCTCCTCTGTCAGTTTAAAGCCATTCCCTCTTGTCCTATCACTACAGGCTTTTGTAAAAAGTCTCTTTCCAGACTTATTCTAAGCCCCTTTAGGTACTGGAAGACTATTGGAAGATCTTGCTGGAGCTTTCTCAAAGCCCAGCTCTCTCAGCTTGTCTTCATAGCAGAGATGCTCCAGCCCTCTGTTCATCTTCATGGCTCTAATCTGGACTTGCTCCAACAGGTCCATGTCCCTTTCGTGTTGGGGGCCCTAGAACTGAATGCAGTACTGCAGGTGGGGTCTCATTGACAGAGGAGTAAAGGGGGAGAATCACCTCCCTTGACCTCCTTTTGATGCAGCCCTGCATATGTGTGGGTTTCTGGGCTGCAAGTGCTCATTGCTGGCTCATGTCGAGCTTCTTTCCAACCAACACCCCCAAGTCCTTCTCGGAGCTGCTTTCAATCCATTCTCCGCCCAACCTCCACCATCCCAAATTGTGCTTGGGATTGTTCTGACCCAGGTGCAGGACCTTGTACTTGTCTTTGTTGAACTTCATGAGGTTGCATGAGTCCACCTCTCCAGCCTGTCCAGGTGCCTCTGGATGACATTCCTTCCCTCCAGTGTGTTTGCCCCACCACACAGCTTGGTGTCATAAGCAAACTTGATAAGGGCTCATCAATACCATTCTCCATGTCACCAACGAAGATGTTGAAAAGGATTGGTCCCAACACTGACCCCTGAGGGACACACCACTCATTACCTGTCTCTAGTTGGGCACTGAGCGTTGACCGCAACTCTTTGTGTGTGGCCATCCAGCCAATTCTTTATCCGCCCAGTGGTCCATCCATCAAATTTATGTCTCTCCAGTTTAGAGACAAGGATGTTGTGTGGGACAGTGTCAAATGCCTTGCACAAGTCCAGGCAGATGACTAACTGCTCTGAGTATGAGAAGAATATGAGCTTTTACATTTTCTGCAGCATTCTAGCTCCCTCCTTTTCAGTTTTCCATATACCTCTCTAATTCTTGTTACTAGACCATTTAAAAGCAAGAAGTTCTCAGTGGCTCTTGAAGAATGCTTTTCTTGCAATAATGGCTGCTGAAATGTAAAAGCTCAGTGTTATATATCTCTCTTGGGTGAATTAGAGGTGTAAATAAACTTACACTGGTAAGCAGGAAAAAAGAAACAGGCCCAAGAATTCTGAATAAACACCTCAAATTTCAGATATTTATATTAATCTTTCTATTAGAGGATATTCTACCTTCATCAATGGCAAAACACTTTTCAGCCTTCTAAGAAAGTATTTGGTGGTAATAATTCAAGCCCCTGAGGATAGAAATAGAAATTAATGTATTGTAGAGAAACTTTGAAACTCACATATTACATTATTTCCAGATCTGACTATTCTCACTATTTACTGTCCCCTTACGAGGTGCTTAAGAATCACAAATAATTCTATGAGGTTTCTTAAAAAATGCCGTTCAACTCTTATTGGACAAAAGAGCTGCTTCCAAAAAAAGTAAGTCAACATTACTTTGATCCTCCACTCATGTCCATCTTCTGAGTAATCCCGAAACCAGTTTCTCATATTGAGCTTTATGATCATTCAGATTAGCTTCAGGTTTGAAACTATGCTGGGAAGGAGCATATCATGTATCAGAGCCCTTCGGACTGAGCAGAAAAAAGAGGGACAACCAGGTCACAAGTGACTTCCATCTACTGCAGTGCATGGGGACCTTAGCCCAAGCCAGGATGTGATTTATTTCTTTATGGCAGTTCCTGGCAGCTGCAGCTGATAACATGAGAATGTGTGGGCAGCTCTTGCCTGTAAGCTGGTAAATTGAAGCTCTGTCACCTTCATCTGTTTCTAACAAAGGGCTGATATGTTTAATCACTGCTTTAATCCTCTGTGGGGCATGTCATTTGAACACTGGTTTCAGTGTCCTGCAGGCTTTAAAAAAATATAGTCCTGCTTGGAGGAGCAGGTTGAACCAGACGACCTTCTGAGGTCCCTTCCAGCCTGAATTACCCTGTCATTTCCAAGTCTTGATCCTTTTGTGGTTTAAGAAGCCCAGGCAGCCAGGAAAATGCCTAGATTTGTTACGTGGCTCTGTGCCTGTGAGAGTGTGAGACTATGCATGAGATACTGAAAAAAACCACACTGCTTACCCTTTTTCTCTGCTGTAAAATACTGGCCAATGCTTTTAGAGAACGAGAGCTGTGACATACAGAATTCCAAGTCACAAAATTGCCATGTCACTGCAGATTCTCAGTGCCTCTTCCTCTGCCTACGGCACATGCAGCAGAAGCATGATTTCTCCCCCTCTGTGCCCCCAACAGTAGCAGCACCCTGTGTAAGGTAAAGATCAGGAGCTCATGAAGGCTGAGGCCTGCCAGCAGTCACGAAGTATTCAGCCCATATGTGGTTTCTGAATGGTTTCAGCCCTGTTTCAGGAGGAGAAAACTGAGGTAGATCTGAGACAGAACAGTACTGACAGTGTAAATGAAGGTAGCACATACTTCACAAATTTAAGCTTCAAAGGAAATCACAGATATGCAAATCTGATTGCCTTCTGCATTTACGGGTTTGGGGATCCACTCCAAGACAGAATCAGCTAGATGCTGCCACAGTTCATAGAATTTTGTCTCTTAGATATCAGGCTGGTCTGCCTTTGTCTTATTTCATTTAGAGCATGCTTGCACATGCAGAACATTTGGGCTTGACAATATGGTTCTCTTCTTCTACCTTAGGAATCCACAAAACCTGAAATAACCTCTCCTGGGGTATAAAAGAAAGAGATGGATAATATGCTTCAGCCCTTAGTGAAATATAATCCTTATTATTCCTACAGTAAAGAGAATAACCCCATAACTCGAAATACAGAAGATTTGGAAGAGACAATGATTTTTCATCTGACCTTTTATGTCAATGCATTTTTTTATTTTGTATGTCAACACAAGTGCAATGTTGGAAAAGTTGGTTCTGTTGAAAGGGATTAACAAGAACCTGTGACTTAATATTGTGTAAACATAATAGTTTGTAAACATAAAAAAGCTGGAGTAAGCACAGTACCTGCTTGAATCTGTGCTGTTTAGCAAGCATCTCCTAAGGATCTCAGCTGTTTTTTCACAACAGGATTTTTTGAGAGTGGGGCAGGCAGAGTCTGGGAACCTGCACTGAGATGCAGCATTTCTTCCCTGTGTTACTCTGTTTTTAGATATCTTGTTCTTACATGGCAACAAATGGAATTGCTATCAAGCGCTGGTAGGCAGTAATTCTACAACTTGTACGGAGTTTTTCCTGCAAACAGAAGACTTATGGTAGAGTTAAAGGGAGGAAGAGACTGCTCAATACAGGAAAAGACAGGGTAAGATCAATCTTGTTATAGGTATTTAGTTGTTACTGGGGCCAAAGCCTAGCAAATTTAACCATGCATAATTTCACTTCTGAGGTCACAGCTCCATCTGCAATCACCCTAAGGTCACCCCAGGTAGGATGTGGAGAATTAACAGCTATAGGTATAACTGGGATGTTCATGAACCCCTTTTGGGCACTGGTTGCTTTTGAAGATCACAGAATGACAGAATGATTGAAATTGACAGGGACCTCTGAGGTCATCTGGTCCACCAGGGTCACCTAGAGCCAGTTGCCCAGGACCATGTTCAGACAGCTTTAGAACATCTCCAAGAAAGGACACTCCACATGCTCTCAGGCAAGCTGTGACAGTGTGTGGTTACCCTCAAAGTAGGAAAATGTTTCCCAATGTTCAGAGGGAACCTCCCGTGCTTGTGCCGTTTCATGTACTGTCACTGGGTGCCACTGAAAAGAGTCTGCCCTCCTCTGGTTTGCTATCATTAAGTGCCCAAGGTGGGCTTGGCTGGGGGTAAAGGAGTATTCCCCCACCAATCTCCATCTGGGTGAGGGCAGCCCTTCAGGAAGTTAACTGTCTTAGGCTTTAACTAGCAGATTTTTTTTTTTTTTAAATGATGTATCTGTCCCAGCTCACTACATAGCCTGAAGAGAAGTTATTCAAACTTCTTAGCAGCTCCATCCACATTTCTGATAGAATCAGAATTAGCCACAGCTATTATCCTGTTATTCCAAGTGGGCTGTAGAAACAATACATACATCTGTGTATTTTACTGTTTAGAGATGGGACAGGGAGTCCCCAGCTCAGTTGTTTGCTACAGGATGGACCTCACCTGATGCTAGAGTCCAGACTTCTGACAGGTTGTGATGATGGTCTTAGCACCTCCTCATGACTTGATTCTTCTCTTTTGAGGGAGTAATACAGCCAGCATACCTATACGAAAATATTCCCCTGCTATGATCTGCTACCAGTTTATGTGGGTGCCTGTGGTATGCTGACATCAGAAGCCAAGAACTCATTCAATTGTTTGCTCAGCTCCCTTCAGTGGGCGGGGGAGAGAATTGGAAGGACAAAACCCATGATAGATTGAAATACAGTTTAATAAGTGAAGAAAACAACCCCAATCAATGACAATTAATACAAAGGCAATGACTCATCACCACCTCCATGTGTTCTCACTGACACCTGGCCAGTTTCTGAGCAATGGTTATTTTGGAAAAACTCCCCATCCTTGTTTTATTGCTGAGCAGGATGTCATGTGGTATGAAATATCTCCTTGGTCAGTTCAGGTTAGCTGTCTGTCCTGGCCGCGTCCCCACCCAATCATTTGACCACCCCCAGACTACTCACTGAGCAGACAGAGAAAGGAATAGAGAAAGCCTTCACGCTGTGCCAGCACCGCTCAGCAGCATCTAGAACATCACTGTGTATTCAACATTGGTTTGGTTACAGATCCAAAACACATCACCTTGGCAGCTGCTGTGAAGAAAATGAACTCCATCTCAACCAGATCCATGAAGTCATTAGAAAGTCATACAAACTGCCTACAGAACTAGAATGACAGTTTGGCTCCACGAGTCTTCAAGACCTCAGTAGTATGGCATCAATAACATTGTAAGGAACCCCATACTTTCATGTATCTACAGAGAATCAGTCTGATATTTTATTAAATTCACAGGCTGTGCAGAGATAATGCCACTGTAGATAATGTTCTGTGTATTTGTAATGACTATCTTCAATGCAATTCAAAAATAATATTCCAGAAAACAGTGTGTCCTGAAGTATAATCACAAAAAGGCACTCACTCCTGCTTTCAGTTCATTGCATAATGTTCTCTTCAGTCCTTGGTTTACTAGCCTCAGTTTTGACAATTCTCAGCCATCTTCACTGGGACTGGCTATTTCTTTCTGAAGTCATCAGACAGTCAGCATCACAGTAGTGAAAAAAAAAACATATTAAAAATTAGATGAGTGTTAGAGAACTTACCATTTCCTTTGAAAGAAAGCTAGCAGGAATAGTAATGTCAAGTATGGCCAGTGATGTTCAGTCTATTGTTTATAAAAGGCCATCGTAAGATCCCAAGTTTTGCCTTTGATAAGCTTAAGCAAGTTGTTAACCCATCAGGCTGCTGCAGGGATGAGCTGGACCTCAGTTCCAGAGGTAGAGAGCTTGCCACTGAGAAAAATGCTGTGGAAGGAAAAAGAAATATAAGCTATCTGACTAAATCATAATTGTGCTTCTAGTAAAGCATAAAAATCCCCAAAACCAAACAATCAAAACAACCTCCACCAAAGTCCCAAATCAGAAAAGGGTTAGTAATCCACAGTTTACAGAAAAAGATTTGGGGAATTAAGACACATCTTCTTCTCTTTAACATCACAAAGTCTAAGATCATAGAATTTTATTTCATTTCATCTGACCATCTCCACTCCATACATTGAAGCCAGGATAAAACTGTAATTTGAACACAGGGTATCTTCTAGGAATACATCTTGTGGTCATTTTAACATTTCTGGCTTTATTCTTCAACCAGCCAATGGTTCTTGCTGTCTAAGGGCTTTTGAATACCCAGTGTTTCGTGTCCATGGAGGTATTTGTACACTATAATTAAGCTGTATCTCAATTTTCCTTTTTCTTTCTAACTTAAACTGAAGAAGGGGTCTCTAAGTCCTTCCTGTAAGACACTTCATCCACACCATCAGATAATTTTATGGCTCCCTTCTGCACCCTCTCCATGTCTGATATTTGTGTGACATATCTGAGTATTAAGTATGTGAAGTTCAAAACAATACAGATGCCCAGTATCCAGCTCATCAGTGTCAATACTCAGAAGGAAAACCATACTTTAGGCTTATATCCACTTTATTCATCAAAGAACTGTAATAATTGACTTTGTCTCTGCATTGATAGGTAAACTCCTGCTGAGCTGAGCCTCTTCACACTGCCATCCACACTGCAGCCCATGCATTTGTTGGCATGACTTACAGGCCTTCCTTCTATGACCATGGCAACGGCCTTGTAGTAAGTGGTCTCATTATAGCATATTTTGTATAAGTAGCTTCAATTTTCCAAGTGATCCAGGTTCCATAAACATGCAAGCATATTTGTGTGTGCGTATACTGAAACCTCATACATATTATATATACATATTATAAATTCATATATTCTATAGATAGTATCATAGAATCATAGAATAGTTAGGGTTGGAAAGGACGTTAAGATCATCAAGTTCCAACCCCCCTGCCATGGGCAGGGACACCTCACACTAAACCATGCCACCCAAGGCTCTGTCTAGCCTGGCCTTGAACACTGCCAGGGATGGAGCATTCACAACTTTCTTGGGCAACCGATTCCAGTGCCTCACCACCCTAACAGTAAGAATTTCTTCCTTATATCCAATCTAAACTTCCCTGTTTAAGTTTTAACCTGTTACCCCTTGTCCTACCACTACAGTCCCTCATGAAGAGTCCCTCCCCAGCATCCTTATAGGTCTGCTTCATATACTGGAAGGCTGCTATGAGATCTCCATGCAGCCTTCTCTTGTCCAGGCTGAACAGCCCCAACTTTCTCAGCCTCTATATGTTATATGTTTTATATATATGTATGCATTACTATACCCACCAAGATCTCATGGCTATTTGCCACCTTGTCAATCTGTGTCATCCACAATTGTTAGGAGCTCCTGTGGTTACAGATCTCTGCAAGAGCTACACCCTGATCATCTGCCAGAGGCAGCTCTCCACAGGAGTTAAGGACCTCCTGGAAAAGCTGGGCTGTCATAACAGCGAGCAGATAGATGAAGTGGCAAGGAGGTGAAGAAGTCCTTATTTTTAGTAAAAATGGAATTTTAATGTACTGTAACTCTCAGAATTTGTCAAACATGCAGACTTAGCTATTTTTAAAAGTTTAGCAGAGGTGGCACTCTTACATATTGCGGCTCTCACGTATTGTCTCCTTCATAATTTTTCTAGTTTGCAGATCTGAAAGGACATAACCGAACGTATTGTAAATGTTTAATTCCCCACAGCCTGTTCAAAGCATCCCTGCAAAAGCCATCTCCTTATCACTGTGCTGCTCTGCCTGACTTACTCTTTTCACTCACTTTCCAGTCTTCATGTGCCGCATTAGGTTTTCATAGAAGCATGGAATAGTTTAGGCTGAAAAACATCTTTAAGATCATTGAGTCCAACAACTAGCATAGTTCTGCCAAGTCCACCACTAAACCAGATCCCCAAGCATTACATCTACACATCTTTGAAGTACCTCCAGGGATGGTGACTCACCCACTTCCCTGAGCAGCCTGTTCCAGTGCTGGACACTCCTTTCAGCAAAGAAATTTTTCGTAATTTCCAACCTAAACCTCCCCTGGTGCAACCTGATGCCATTTCCTCATTCTATCACTTGTTACTTTGGAGAAGACCACCCCCCACCTGGCTAAAACCTCCTTTCAGGTAGGTGTAGAAAGTGACAAGACCTCCCGTGAAACTCCTTTTTTTCCAGCCTAAGCAAGCCCAGTTCCCTCTGGTGTTCCTCATCAGACTTGAGTTATAGACCCTCCACCAGCTTCATGCCCTGCTTTGGACACACTTCAGCAACTCAGTGTCTTTCTTGTAGTCAGGGGGCCAACAAAATATGTATATAATATATAAAAAGTGCAATTGATGAATCTGATTCAGTGGGTGAAAATCTTGATGTGTTATGCCTATTCACTATACAAAATATGATGTAATACTGCATCAACAGCTGCACTTTACTACAATATTTACTTATATATATGGCAAATTTCTTTCTTCTTCTTGATTCCAAAATGACTTTTTAATTTCCATCAGTTCTCAAGCAATCTAACCTAGTCTTTTCTGCCACCACATTTTCTCATCATCTTCCAAAGCTTGCAAAAACTCTGCTATGGTCTTCGTTTTAAAGACTTCCACCTGCCTTTTGCCGGCTGGATTGGAACGTACCTGCAGCCCTGTGGATAATTTTGCCTAGCAGCTTCGTTAGCTCCAACCCATGTACGTGCCTCTATACATGATCCAGCCACTAGAGGGGACAGAGCTTTACACTCATGTAAAAGCACCTCAGTTGAGATTTTGTAAAATACCTGTTTCTAAATAAGGCTTTTTCTTTGGCAGAAGAACAGGTCAGACAGGTGACTGACACACCCCCTATTCCTCTGTCCCCTGCTTTTGTTTTAAGGCTTTCAGATTGGTGGCACAACAGCTTGTAAAGAGAGGCAGGCTTGTGTTGCCAGGGTGTTATTCCCCTTCTTAGAGACAAAGAGATCTCTCTCCCAAGGTATTCTGCTAGGAATGGAAATAATTGTGCTCACATTGATGAGGCACTTTGAGATCCTGGGAGGCAAAGGCATGTCACACAACAAGAGTTGGTGTTAATACTCAGCACTCCCCACCACTGTACTTCCTGTCTTTTGTATTCCCTGCCTTTTAAAGGGTTGCAGCTGCTTGCCATGCTGCAATACCTACTTCCTTTCTGGTTCTTTAGCTCAATTTGGTTTGCTTGCTCTCTCACACAAACTCGTAAGCTCTGTATATAATAAATGTAATGTATACAAAAACTCTAACGATCCGATCCTATTAAGAACTTCTCATAGATGTAAAATAAAGTCTCCTGTACTTTGTGTCTTTCTGTTGCTCATATTCTGTGTGCTTTGGTTGTGCTACTGTATAACCTCCTGGTTTAATTTGGCTGGAAGGAAACAAACATCTTCTGTCATTTATGAACTGGCTGTAGGGCATCTGAGATTTTTATAGCTGAGTAAAATAAATCTTAAACTAGAAAACTTGAATAGCTTAGCCTGTGGTTTGCAGGCATTAGATGGGAACTCGAGGGCATGCACCAGCTTCTCTAATGGCTGTTGAAATGCTGCTTTGGGGGAACATGTCAGGTCATGCAGACAGCTGCACTTTAGTTGGAAATGGTGAAAACTAATAGCACAGCATTTAAATTAATATTTGGCACTATTGATGTGACTGTGCTGTTGGGACCTGGAGATATAACGGGGGTAAAGAAACTTTAACCAATCAAGACAATTCACTTTCCAGTTTTGTCATTCATTTAGATTAAGAGATCATGATGAGACTGTCTATGATGCTGGCAGATTGTGGTTAGTCTTCCTGTGATGCTGAGAGTGAATTGATTTCCAGGTTAGTAAAACATATGATTATTACCTGGTTAATAGCTTCTTGAATATATGACTCATAAAGCTGTGTCACTGTGTCTTAAAAGACTTGGTAAGGTGAAAATACCATTTAAGTTTGAAGCTAGCAATGGTATGCAATAGAAATATTAATTAAGAGATCTTAATGGGAAAAGGATAAAAAATGGCCCAAGCTCCTTTTCAGCACATAACATCCCTACAGCTGGTGTTTGAAGGCAAGGAGCTGTTAAACCAGAAGATGGGGGAGGGGGAAGGAGGAGTCATTTCTGCATACACTGGGGAGAAAACTTCACTGGATTGCCTAAAGCAATTGTCAGAGGTGGTTCCTGTACTCATCATTAGCCATAAAAGCAGAAAAGACAGAGATACAAAGCTCTTCAGGAGATGCCCTCCTTAAAGGACACTGATTAGACTGATTAGAATCACAGGCAACTGGCAGCACTGCAGTAGCCAAGGAAAACCTTTATTATTAAATATAATCTTAACAATGTGTTTGGTATTTGATCTTTTATAAATTTCTTCCATTATTGTGAATCTACAGTTTTTCAGTGTTCTCTTATTTGCAAAACTTAGATAGTGTTAGGTCTGGAACAATGATCATGCCATTCCCAGGGGGATGGAGTCTTACAAACCCCAGGTGAAGACCATTGTCATAGTCACCAGTATATCCCAGCATTTCAAAGGCCAAAGGATGCACCTAGTTGGAGGTGGGAATGGCAGGATTTCTGCATAAAGAACTTTTTACGCCTGTCACCGAAAGATGACATGATTCAAGATCATGGATTAAATGCCAATGCCTCAGGAACCAGACTGTGACAAACGAAACACCAAAGGTTGTAATCCCCATAAACTGTGATCTGTTCACATGAACAGTTGTACTTCATCCAGCAGTACTATGCAGAGAAGGCATTGATAAGCATGGATACATATTTATCAATGACCTGCTTTCTCAAGACACAAATCCCCTTTTTATTTCCTCCTTTTCTTGAGTTTGCAGAGGACTACAGCCTGCACACCAACACTTTGTTCAGTTGCTCAGGTGCTCTACGTTTCTATTGAATTTTCAGCTCTTTTCCCCTTTCATAACCTCAGACTCCATTTGGGTTGCTGGGGAGTAAGTAAATCAGTGCACAGTCTAACATAGGGTTTAAGAGTGGCTAATTTCTGAGGCTAAATGATTTCCAACAAAGTATGGAATAGATTACTAAGTGTGATAGTGCCACAGAGGGTACTGCACCCCCCTTTCTGTTACCTTTCTCCTCTCCAGACTTGGCTGCTCATGCTCCAGGGATTTAAGGCTCAACTCTGTTCCCACCTGGCTGTATAACATTGGCTCAGACTGCTGGTAAAGCTGCTGACCTGTTACAAAGTACTGTGCAAATGTCTGTTGAAAATAAGAAATAAGGATGACAAAGGTAAAATTACAGGTCAGGGTATCTCAAGAACTTGAGAGGAAAGATACATGAGGAGGAATAAACTTCTAACAGAAGAAAATGGGGAGCTGGTTGCTGGTTTATGAGGTGTCTGTAGTATCGATGGAGCTGGTGGAAGATGTTTGTTCTGTAATCCCAAAGGTTTGCTCTCAGGAGGCACAGTGGTGTGTGCACTCCCTCAGATGTTGCCCACCAGGACAACAAAGTCTCCTTGGATGTCTTACAAGAGGTGGTGAATTTATCTCTGTCTTGTAGCTCACAAAGTCATAACTATTTTTGTGTATCCTAGCCAGTAAATACTTTTTGTGTACTTGTAAAGATCTGCATATACTGTTTGCAAAGTCTCTTTGCCTGACTACAGACACCTGAACAAACAGACCCAAAAGAAGGGTGACAGCAGGATCTTCTTCTCAAAATGTCACCTCCAAGCCATTTCAGCACAGGCAGACTGTAAGCGAAGCCACCAGTACACATGGAGGAAGAGGATCTCACACAGCTATTGGGGTTTACCCAGCACAGAAAGACCAAAGTCCCTACCTAGGGGACTTAGATAAAACCTTTAACTTCTACAACAGGTGTTCTGTGCCTTGCTTGTTCTGATTTATTAGCAATATATAAGATGATCCAATATTTGGCCTCTGCCTTTAAATCATAGGATTTTCCGTTCTAAAAAATTACAACCTTTGCATTTTATTAGTGTGGCTTAGTGTTTTCTAAGCCTTTACTACATCCATATATTTTACCCACATTCTAAGAACAAGCTTTTGTACTTATTATCAATTACCTTGGCAATGGCATGACCACATCCACAGACATACTTGACAGTGCAGTGCTGCTGCCCTGGATCTCTGCAAGCACACACGGAGAAGGAAGAATTTGCATTGCAATCACACCAAAAGGGGAATTTCTAGGCTAGTAGTGTAGGTGAAGCTTGGGGTGATGAAGCTTTCTGAACTGTTGCCTCTAATGGGATGGAATCTCTGTAAGCCACGTGAAGGTGTTTAGGTCCTCCTTCTCAATTTCTTAATTCCTGGAAAGGGTGTTTTAGTTCCTCTTCCCCTGGAGGGACACAAGAATTGATTGATTAATGTTTGTAAAACACCAAAGAGAGAAGCACTGTGTAAATGCCATGGTTGATTATTGCTACTCAACCTTTCAAAGAAGCATCAACCTATGTCTATCCTTTGAGCTCAGCTGGATCTTTGGGGTGAAACAGAAAACTGTTCCATAAGAGCTCAGAAGCTACAGCTTGACAGCCTCTGTAAGCACAGCAGGCCAGCATTTGCTGTGTGCCCTGAGCTTTTGGTGTTTGCCTTATCCCCGATTCTTTTAGCTTTAGCTGGGAATACATTATTACATGTTAGTATTATTATCAAATGATGAAGTTGCTGGTTGGTGTTACCAATTTGTTTCTAATTTCCATGAATGCCTCCTCATTCTCCCTTAACTCAAATATCAGATGTCTGAATACTGATTTTGAAACCTCTTGGAGCAATGAATTACAAGTGTGGACTCCCAGAAGACACCAGTTTGATAAGTCCTTGCCACAACTGTGGCCAAACATGACTGAGTGTTTGGCCCATCTGAGCAAGGACTGGAGAAGGAGATGTTATCCAAGGAAAGGATAAGAAATCATGAAAGTGTACTGAGCAAATTCCAGCAGTGGTGCTGTGACCTCCCCTAGCAGTGACAAAGGGTAGCACATATCTTTGTCTACCCAAAAGACGTTAAGATAATTTCTGGAGGCATTTCTGGTAGTTTACTACAGTAATTATTTCTTGGCCTGTGTTGTACAATAATACATCATGAAGCAAATTTCTCATCTTCAGGCTTCAGTCCCTGGAGATGGATGTTTTGCATTTTGTGGGTCTGGAGCATCTGTGATGTGGATAATCCCACCTAAGACTTGCTCTACTGAAACCACTCCAGTGAAAGCTGTTCTGGTTCAGGGACTGCCCAGCTTGAGAAAAAAATTAGCATCAGTTTTTTCCCTGCCTAATTACGGTTTTCTTTTGCAATTAAATGTGTCTTGAGAGTTATTAACAGAGACTGAATTGCTCATTCTGTTAGCTGAATGGCACCACGAGGGTTGTCAAATCATGAATGTTGTGATTCAAAGGGTCCTGAAGAAGCTTTGTGAGAAGAACAAGTCATTACTTACTTGGTCTTGGTGTCAGGGCTACTGATGGGCTCCTTCACAGAAGAAGGAGACAGAAAAGTTGAAAGGGACGTCATCATCTTAAGGTCACCTCATTTCATGCACTACTCCAGAAAGATTCCAAGTAGTGGGAGAAGTAGGGTATATGCCCTTGGAAACTTGCAGCCATCCAAAGCCTCCAGGGAAACCCAGAAGATGTCCAGATAGAAAGGCAAAGGCTGATGGCATCTGCAATTCTACAGCCTTCAATCCTTCAGTAACTGCAGTCCTGTCCAGACTCCTCAAGCCCCTTGAGACTGCGCTGCTGCAGGGGATGGGCTATCAGCTCCTTGCCAAAAGATCAATCTAATGTCTCCTGCCATGGAAGGAGTATGTCATTTACTGGAAGCCAGTGTGACAGGCTCAGCTTCTTGCATCCCCGAAAACAGTGCCACCAAGAGATCTCTCTCAGGCACACATCAGAAGAGGGTCCCGACAACTTGGAGCACATCTTCCTGCCTCATCAGCAGCCCATAGCCTCAAGCTCTGCACCTCCAGCCAGCTGTACCTCTGTGTCCAGCTCAGCTCTCTCTGACCCTGAAAGTCTGCAGTCGAGGGTGCCATTCCTGCATGCCCCAGTTCAGGATTGCATGAGTAGTTTGATGAGTAGCAAACACAGGGGTATACTGCATACCTTGCAGCCTTCTCTTCCTTTGACAACCCTTTCAGTAGTGTGAAGTTTCATCATTTGCTTTCTTCTGAGCAGATTATCTTCTCTTTTAGCTGTCCCTGCCACAAACCTGCCAACACAAACACCTTTGTGGGTTAAGTCCTTTCAGTTCTCTGGGAAAGGAAAGGATGCATGTCACTGAGCAGTCTCCTGGTTGGGAGCCATTCCTGTGGCACTTGACTTCATCTCAGGTGCTTTAAACATCTGTGCTACCAAAAGCAGGGATGTAGTCACTGTATAAAGGACGGTAGTCCCTGGAAGGGATCTAAGTCTCAGCTGGGCTAAGTGACTGTGGCAGGGGGCTGCAAAACATACAGCAGGGGTCATAGGTGCCTGAAATCAGGTGGAAAGTTCAGGTCTTTTGTGGCATGATGCTCTCCATTGCATCAAAAGGTATGGCTATGGTATGCCTACAAAGGGACTGAGGCTGGTTTTACAAGGTTACAGCCCATGGCTTGTCAAAAAATTAGCAAATAGACATATTTCTCATGGAAAATCTTATTCTGGAAGCAGTTGATTTCACAGCAAATCAAGATGTGGTGTTGCAGTGTTCTCTTCAGCTGAAACAACATGTGGAAAAAGTTCCATAAGACTCAATACTGAATATCAGTGGGTTTAGATAAAACCTAATCCCACTACATGGCTAATGCTAGCAAAACAACCAGTGGAGGAGTCATTTGGATTATATTTTTTTATGTGGGGCCGGGTGAAAATGTCTCAGCTCATATCTGCTCCTGAAATTGTTAAACTTGTCGATAAATATTTCCTAATTCTGTATTTATACATATACTTAATTAAGATGTTTGAATGCCAGAATTGATCAGAATTATGCCTCTTACGTCATTTCATAAGATGCTATTCTATCTTGCACCAATAAAGAAAAATTACTTTATTTGGACTTCAGTTCTCAGTCTTTTCAGCATCAGTCTGGATAGTTTGCTGTAGAATCAAAAATCTTACCAGTTTTTAACATTATTAGTGTGACTGCACAAAATGCACCATTCATGGTTCATTTTTCATTATCAGCAAACATAATGCTAATTTTGAATGTGGCTAATTTCCAAGTCAAATAAAATTGCTTCATAATCAGGTCTGTTCAGCTTCCACTGATTTGATACCAAACTAGTGCTACTTCAAACAGTTTTGGCTTTTGCACTGGTTGGTGGGGTTTTTCTGTTGGTGTTTTTTTTTTTTTTTTTTGGTGGGGGGGGTCCTTTTCTTTCCTAAATTTAGACAGTCACTGACTTTTTGTCTACTTTGGAAATTTATTTGGGTTCTCTTGTTTAGATGTTACACATTATCTGACACTGCACTGCACCATTTGCTCTCCATGGTGAAAAAAAGTCCTTGTTTACATTTCTAGAAGTGTTTTCCACTTCATATGTATTATCAGATGAACTTCCTGACCTTTTCTAGCACTCTAACTAATTTGTCAGTATAACGAAAGAATACATTTTCTCTACGATTTGTTACTAGTTGTACTGGTTTAATTGCTGAAGTAGAAAGTATCTCTGCATCTAGATTGATTTTTTGCAGCCTTCTGATTTAAAATATAATGTAGATAATGTGAGACAATTCCATGTTTTGAGTGATTTGCCAGATGGCTACATGGATGGGGATATAATTTAAATGAGTCTGTTATTACATTCGTCCATGTATGTGTTTTATAAAAGAAGTATGTACATTATCAGTGGAAAAAACAACTAGGAAACTTCCAATCAGATCAGTATTTAGCATCATGGATTGATTTCTTTTTTTTTTTTTTCTTTTGCTCCACCAGGTAATGATTTTATAGTCCTATCACTTAAATACCAAATCACCACTCAGTGACAAGCCAACTTGCCTTGCTTATTCAAACGTGTTCAAACCTCCTTAGGTCTGGAACCAAGCTCTGAGATCTGAGATGAGTGAGTTTGTTGGTTCATTTTTCAAGGTGTAATCCAGAAGGTGCACAGACAGGCAAGGCTGGAAAAAGGACATTTGAAGAGCAAGACAATTTCCATTTTGGAAACTGACGTGGCTCACTCTGTCTTCACCTCTAGGCTGGATACAAAAAGGCAGAAGTTTGCACTGGGGAAAGATTATTGCCCTTCTCACCAAGGACATGTGCCTGGGGAGGGAAGAAACCCAGGTACACGTGGCTGATGAGACTCATGTTTCAAGTGGTATTACTGCTTGCCCTGTGTGTAACAGGACTTTGTTATACAGCAGTATGTGGTTTTTTGTTTATGCTGAGAGACACCGAAGAGCCCTTTGCCTCCTGGATGCAGCACTTCAGCTGCTTGCAGCCATCTCAGCAGCCCTGATCTTGGCCAGGAGGAAGCAACCTGCACCCTGCTATGCTCAGTCTGAGCCCAGAGGTAACCTGTCTCAGCTCCTTGCTCAGCAGAACTCTGCTCCCTGGTGCCACCAACCCCAGGGGCTGTGGGGGAGTCTAGCCCAACGAGGTGAAACCTCACATACTTCCAGCCTTTCAGGTGTGATCGCTGTTGTTCCTCTGTAGTCCAGGGTTAATTTTGCACCCATATTAGACTTACTGCTGACCTAAACTTGATGCTGGTTCAAGAACATGTTTATGTACATTTTTGCCTCTACCACATTTTAACATTTCCTGGAGCACAAAAGTAGTCCTGAAATGCTCTATTTTACTGCTGACAGAATTGCGTATCTGTTGGGCTTTTTTTTCTGTAGGACTAGCGATACATGAAAGTGCTACATTCTGCCACAGATTCCCAAAGCATATTTATCCATTCAGGTCTGTCTGGAGTACAAGTTCTCACAGCAGAATAAGTCTCTTGAATATTATTGAATTGCAGTCACAGACAATAAAACAGTCTTATTTAAAGGTCTGCTATGGTAGCTCTACTACCAATAGTAATATCTTCCATCTTCTGGCATGGAAATATTAGTTATGAGGACCTTAGGACAGCCTTTCCCTTATGGCCCCAAAAGGGATGGTGACAGTAACGGATGGGAAAGGTAGGGTAGCCCCTGCTGTGCAAAAGCAAGCAAATGAAAACCATCTGAGTGCTTTCCTACCCCCAGGAAGGATGCAAGCTGAGATAGGGTCATGTGTGCACTGATTTAGAATAACATTTCCTTCCTGTTAGTCTCTATGAAAATGCAAACAGGTGTTAGAAAGCTAGCGTTACATTCTGACAAAATTTGTTTCAACAACAGGCCCAGGCT